CTGTTTAAGTTTAATTTTAGGAGCTTTTTCTTCACTCCAATCGTCCAGTTTTGCAGCCTTTACAGAAGTTCCAACCAGCTCTTTCTCTACTACCAGCTGCATGACTTGCTCACTTGCATCCAACATCTTGACATACCCAGCAGTGAAGTCATCTAGATGCTCTGTCTCTTCTGCAGAAACTGTCAATGCTCTCTCCAAAGGATCTGTGGGATGCATTTCTAGGAAGATCTCTTCTGCAAGGCTGGTGAGGGAGTCCACATAGAATGTATGACCATCAATTGCTGGTCTCTTCATCAGCTTGTCCATGTCAAAGGTCATCACCAAATCGCCCACATTAAGGGCTATGCTCCCCTTCCTGACATCTATGATGGCGCCTGCAGTGGCTAGGAATGGTCTTCCCAAGATCAAGGGGTCTTTTGGTTTTTCCCCATAAGATAGAACCACAAAGTCTGTAGGGATCATGCAATCTCCTACCTTGACTGGCACATCCTCAAAAATGCCTTCAGGGATCCTTACTGATCTATCTGCTAGGATAAGAGAGATCCCAGTTGGTTAAAAATCTATCATACCCAAGCTGACAGCAACTGAGTGGGGGCATCAGATTGACACTTGACCCCAAATCACAAAGAGACCTCTCAAACCTTTCAGAAAAGATTATGCAGTCTAGGACAAAGCTCCCAAGGTCTGTCAGCTTCTCTTGTATCTTGTTCTATATCACTGCACTGACCTGCTCTGAAATCAGCATTTAACCTTGCTCAAGCCCCAGATTCTTGGTCATCGTCCTTTTCACATATCTCTTGATCACATGAGTAGTCCTTATAGCATCAATCAAAGGAATCTCCACCACAAGTTTATCCATGATAGCTCCTAGCATCCTCCAGCTCTTGTTTAGACTTCCTCTGCTTCCTTGGGTAAGGCACCTTTGGCTTGTAAACCCTTTCTTCTGCATTTTCTGGAGTCTAAAAAATCGAAGTCTGCTTCTGTGGGGGGTGTCGATCGACACCAGGAGTGGTGTGTCGATCGACACTCTCCTCTGTATGTGGTGTCGATGGTCCACTTTGTTGCTTGTCGATCGTGGTCGATATCTCTTCGCCTCAAGTCAAAAAATCATGAGACTCCTCTGGTGTCGATCGACATCGAGGGGTGGGTGTCGATCGACACCCTTCAGGTTTGGCAAAATCATCCTCTTCAAAATCTTGAAGTTGCTCGAAATCTCCTGCACTAAGACCCTTCTTCTTCACTGGTTGCAGATTCTTTCCACTCCTCAGCGTGATGGCGTTGGCAGAGTGTCTTGGGTTGGTATCTGTTCTTCCTAGAAGAAATCCATCTTGTTTTTTCATAGCTCCAGCAGTTTGAGCAACTTGAGTGTCAAGAGTTTTGACATGGGTGTTCAGGGCTTCAAATTTGCCATTCAAATCCTGATAGAGAGCATCAATCTTCCTATTGAAGTCAACTGTGATCTTTTTCTGATCCTCTAGCAGCTGTTCAAGTATAGCTTCCATCTTACTTGAAGCTGATGGTGCAGGTGGTGGCTGATAAGAAGAGGAACCATAGTTCCTGCTGAAGTTGTTGTTCAGGTAAGGCTTCTGGTATTCAGACTTTTGGAACTGAGAATTGGGAGTGTAACCAGAGGAACTCTGGTTTCCTGTGAAGTTGCTCCTCTGATTATTCCTACTGAATCCTCTGCTCCCTTGTTGATTATTGTACCTTTGACCCTGAAAGCCAGCTCCATTGATGTAGTTGACATCTTCTTCTTCAAACTCCTCAGCTGGCTCAAATGTCTCAACCTCAGCAGCAAACTGAACAGACTTCTTACCCACCAAGAGGTTATGAACAGAATCCAGCTTAGCCTTCATCTCAGCAGCAAACTGATTGCTCCCAGTATTTCCAGCGATTTTCTGTCTCTCAAAATCAGCATTCTTTGTGCTGTTGCTGGAAGCCAGGTTCTCTATCAGTGTGACAGCGTCAGCTGGGACTCTAGTGTTGAAGTTCCCATTGCTTGCAGCATCCAGAGCCATTTGGTACCTCCAATCAATCCCTCTGAAGAAGATACCCAACAACTGCACCTCATTGTAGCCATGATAAGGGCAGTCTCTCTGATATAACTTGAACCTCAGTCATGCTGCCTTTAAAGCTTCAGTTGGACCTTGGGAGAAGGAAGCAATTTTCGTCCTCAACTCTTCTGATCTGGTATCATCATAAAAGTTATTGAGAAAAGCGCTCTTGGTGCTCTTCCAAGTGGTCAAAGAGCCAGGCTCTAACTGTTTCAGCCAATGAGCTGCATCTCCTCCCAAAGAGTAGGGGAAAAGCTTGCAGAATAAGAAATCATTGCTGACTCCATTGGCTTTAACACTTGTAGCCAGATCCTCAAACCTCTCTATGTGGTCCATAGGATGCTCATGTGAAAGCCCATAGAAAGGGTGCTGACCCACAAGCTGGTAGTAGGTAGGCTTTAGTTCAAAGTCATTTCTCTGAAGGCAGGATGGCGGATTGCAGCTCTATTTGCATAGAACTTATCTGGCCTATTGTAATCTCCCAGGGTCCTCTGTGGAAAACGCCCAGCAGCATTTCCAGCAGCTTGTTGTTGCACATTCTGCGCAACTGGTGGCACATCCTGTTCCTCAATTACAACGCCATCTTCATCTACCCTCTGTCCATCCTCATTTCTTTTGTTTCCCTCTCTGTCAACTAAATGACCCTCAGCATCTGTCCTCAAAACAAGTGGTCCAACCATCTTAGTCTGCTTTTTGGCCTTTCTGATCGTTTTTTCTAACTTGGCGAGTCCATCGATGCCTAATGTCACAAGCTCTTTGTCTTTGTTGCTTCTGGTACTACGATTATGCATACACCAGAAACAGACAGCAGAGAAGTAGTAGAAAGTTAGCAAAAATAATGTAAAAGCTTAGTCAAAATTCTAAAACTAAAAATCTGAAAGTAATAACTAAGTCCCCGGCAATGGCGCTAAAATTTGATATGGCTCAAATTAACCCTTAGAACTACTCTCTCAAATTAAGAGATCACTGTAGTACTTAGGGATCGAATCCACAAGGACTTAAGACTATTACTCAACAGACTTTAGATTCAAATGAAGCTAAGCAGTCAATAACAAATAAAACTAAATAGCAAATGAAAGTAATGAGATCAGGAGCGGATATTGAGTTCTTAAAATCAATTGAGACAAGGTGCTAGGCGATGGGAAATTCGCAGGTTGACATAAATCGCAGACTACGGACTGAAAGGATTATTTATTAAAATCGTTCTAAAACTCGAAAACACGAATGTAAAACCAATCGACTTCCGTCGCAGAGATTAACTATGATCAGATTCTAGAATTCCAAATTCCTTTGAAAATTCTAACAACCTAAGCAAGCATTATGGTTCAGGTTCGATATGTTCACAAAATCACTAATCCAATTTCCTTTGCAATTAGCTATTTTTCTCATCTAAGATAGTTCTGGTGATTAATAATGTTCCCACATCTATTAAACAACCTAAGATCCGATTTCTAAGTGATCAATCTTAAAATCAGTGCTAAAGCAATCTAAATGAAGAACCAAATGATTTATCCTTCCAGTTTTGCAGTTCTAACAATTCATTATTAACCTTTGAATAATCCCATAACATAACTAGCAGATTACTCAGACATAGCAATTGAAACACAAATCACGACTGAATAATATTGCATTAAAAGATAGAGTAAAAGACAATGGAGGTTCGAAATTCTTCTCTAACAAAGTACGGATTTGTCTCTCCAAAAGCTCTGAATCAAATCTCTCTCTTAATCTCAATGAAAACAAGATCAATGCCTAACAATGGCTTTCAAAACCTAAATACAACTCTAAACACGATTTGGGGCAAGTTTGCAAATAGTGGAAAACTTCTGGGCCAAGTTCCAATTCTTCCAAAGAGTTTTTAGACTTCTTCTCGCGATCACGATCGGTGTCGATCGACACCAAGTGGCTGGTGTCGATCGACACCATGCTCCAGAATGCTCTCCGGCTTGGTCATTTCAGCATCAACTTCAACATAGCTCAAAAAGGCACCAACACTCACAGTTATGCTCCAAACGTACTTAAACCTGCAAAGACTCTATAGGACTCGAAAAATACCAAAAAGACTCTATAAACAAGACTTATATCATGGTCAAAAAACAGTAAAAACCATGATATATCAAGTATTAATCCAAATCTAGATCTAAGTTCTGAATGTAAATAACAACCTAGCAAGCAACACAGATCTACAAGTTACGACTTAGAGCAGAACTTGTAGGGTTTTAGAGGACAAGGTAGCTAACGATATCGAAGGAAAGTCATGAACACATCTTCACCTTTGCCTAATCGATTGAAAGCTAAAAAGGTATCTAGGGTTTAAGGGATCTAACGACAGAAGGCAAAGGACTCAAGAAAACGGCGGCTCGGAACTGATGTACGGTGGCGACTCTCCTCGACGGCGGCGGACGGCGGCGAAGATGAACGGTGGCGGCGGCTTGCTCGGTTAGGGTTCTTAGGTTCTATCTCTGAATGCTTTGGGAGTTGTGATGGAAATCCTGACTCTCTAGCTCTATTTATATCGGGAAGACTCTGGGAAAACCCTAATACCCTTTCTTCTTGGGCTTTAGACACATTGGCCTTTCCTTTTCATGTTGGACCTAGATCTAGGGCGTTACAACTTGTTTGGAAAAAGACTCTATTCGATGTTCAAACACCCCCAATATATTTACTTATTTACAAAAATTTGAAAAATTAGGAAAAGTTTTATGAGGACAATCACTTTGGAACCAAAATAAAAATGAACAAGCCAGAACATCAAGCATAACCAAAAGTGCAACTCAGCCTGAGAACTCAAGTACTGATGAAACGAGAGAGGAAACAATCCATCAAGAATCAAATTGCAATAAGAAACATAGGACTCTGTTTCAAGACTAAGATGCAAACAGATAAACCAGAACACGAATTAGATCCAAACTCTTAACTGCCTAGTCATCAAGAAACATCATCATCTTAAGAACTCAAGAGAGCATTCATGTCTGAGCACGTATTCTTCAAGTCTTTCAACTCTTCCTCAATTTCTTGCATCCGAGTCTCACCAACCTCTTGGAGTTTCTTCTCCAACCAATAGACATAATCTCACAGTAGCCAAAGCCCCACAACATATATATACCCACATGCAATACATTCTGGTTATCCGCCTTATAATAGAATCATAACATGGCGAGAGTATAATCACCTCGCATTTCGGTGAATATATCCACAATTTGATTTACTATAGTAATCGATACTTTTGCGTGTCTTCTCCATCCCAAAGGTAAAGTTTTAGAATCAGCAACTTCCAGATACAGAGACAAATCATCATGCTTATCATCGTTTTTCTTGGCCTTAAGACGCCTACAATCAAAACACAAAGAAAACAGTGGATGTCCAAATATTTAATATCTAAATCGGATGAATTAAAAACATTAGAAACGAAGTAATAATTTTCTTACTATTTGCAACCACCAATCAAAAATTGATCCAATATATAATAAACTCAGGTTGCAAATATGAGAATTTCTTAATCACCCAAAGGAACTTCTTATCAACTTGGTTCACCATTGATTTTTATTATGACTCCTACAAACCCAAATTTGTATGTAAATCCAAATTCGTGTGCCACACATCAATGAGGCAATGACATTAAACAAAAATGCACCAGAGATACGAAACGAGTACTCCTTTTAGTATAAGATGTAAAAATTCCAACCCAAGTTAGGTCACTTATTATTCAATTTTTTTTAAGAACCGACTCAATTTCGAAACCAACACATGAGTAAAAGACCAAACATTATTAAAATCCAAATGACTAAAGAAATCAATAGTACTGAATATCATCGAATGATACAACATTTACACTAAAAACATAGAGAGAGAGGGTTGATGAGAAAAAAAGAAGATAACAAAGATTAAGTTAAAGAATTTTTATTTAATAATTGTAGTTATGTCATATTTATAGTAATAAGATTCTAGATTTTAGAGAGCATATTCAACACAATTTTTAAATAGAAAATAGACAAAGTTTTATAAAAAATTCGACAACACTTACACTAAAGAAAACACGTTCAAAAGATTGAGAAAAAAAACAATTATAGAAAAGATAGCTAAAATTAAATTAAAATTAAGTCAATTTTTTTGTATGTTATATTTATGAGAGAAAGAGAAATTAGTGCATATTGAATTAACATTTATCATATGAAACTTTTATGAAAGAGATTAATATTATGCAAAATATATATTTTTAAAAATTAATCGTTTATGAAGAAAGATTAATGTTGTATAAACATTCGATTCAAATTTAAAAATAGAAAAATATAAGTATAATATTTAATATAATTCTTTACATCTAAGTTATCAAATGAGACCAATATTAAATATGTAACTATTTAAATTTTGATATTAAATATTATTTATAAACCTAACATACAAATATTAATAACTAAATAATATAATATTTTATATATTACTAATTTTTTTGATAATAGTGTAAAATTTTGTGTGTAGCGCGGATCACACCTTAGTTTTAGAAATAAAAGCTAAAGAGGTATAGATAAATCTTCAAAAACAAAAAAAAAAAAAAAAACAGAACATAAACCTAAACAAAGGAAACTAAATATTATACCATACTAAAAACAGAGAGAAACTAGCTAATGAAATTTTGTCTCTAAACCTGAGACTGTTGTAATTAGCTTCATCGCAGGCATTTTCTATATGAACCAGAAACACTGAACATGAGTCAAGAACCATGATACTCGAGCGGAACCAACACCAAAAAGAAAGCTACTCCAAATTCAAAGCAGCAACAATACCAACAGAAAAGATCGCAATATTAAACCAACAAGTTGTATTATTGTTTCCTTTATGTATATTTTATACATATTTATATATATATATAAATTTTAAATCTTTTATAAACACTAGAAATAATCTATACTAAATGAAAAGAAGTATTTGAGGCTCTTTAAACTATCCACATCAGCTTTTCAAAATATCCTAAAAATATGCCACATCATCAAAAAACAATAATTAAAATTCACTCTTTAGATTTTTTGAAATACACATAAAATAAATAAATAGAACCACTAAAATTAATATAGTTAATAATAAAAGTAAATAAAACTAAAATCTCTTTTTTGAATCAGTAATAAGCATTATTTAAATATATAGCATCAATATATACTCCTTTTGTTTGTAATATAACAAATAATAATAAAAAAATTATTCTCGATGTTTTGAAGTACACATAAAATAAATAAATAGAACCACTAAATTAATATGGTTATCAGTAAAAACTAAATAAAACTAAATAGCATTTTCTGAATCAGTAAAATAAATATAATTTAAATCTGTAGCATTAATATATAATCTTTTTTGTCACTAAAATTAATATAGTTATTAACAAAGATAAATAAAACTAAAACAATATTTTTTGAATCAGTAAAATAAACGTCATTTAAATCTATAGCATCAATATATACTCTTTATGTCTGTCATATAACAATAATAAAAGCTATCACTTTAGATTTTTTAAATACACATAAAATAAATAAATAGAACCACTAAATTAATATAGAATTAGAAAATACTAAATAAAACTAAATATTATTTTTTGAATCAGTAAAATAAATATTATTTAAATATATTGCATTAATATATGCTCCTTTTTTGTAATATAATGAATATATTGAACAACAAATTGCTCTAAAAAACTTAAATAACAGTTAACAAAAACAAGGTTACGAAATAATAATTTCTAAAATAAAATATTAAAAATTCACAAATTAGAAAAATCTACAACACTCATCTTTTAGAAACATACATATTATATACATAACAAACAAGTATATTATGTTTTTCAAATTAACACAACTGTAATTTACATATATGGACACAAAATTGTCTATCCTCATTACAAAGATATACTTATAAGACTTTATTTATACATTAATTATTACAAAAATATATTTAATACATTTACAGAAAAAGTGGACTAGCATAATTCAATTTTAAAAATTAATATATTACACTTTTATAATTAAAAAAAATATTTTTTATGTAAAAACAAATGTCTAAAAATATCCTTAACCATCCACATCAACAAAAAATAAATTCTTTACAAACTCAACATGTAAGGAAAACTTATATATATTTTTTTGGGGTTAAAAAACGCCTTTAAAAATAATATAATAGATATTATTGATTTAATTATAAAGACTCATTAAAATATATGTATGGTTTAAGAAAATATTTAAGTTAAATTACAAGCCAAATACAAATGTATATTTTACACTTTTCAGTTTTGAGAAACTTGTCATACTTTGTTTAAAAGAATGAGTTCGTATGAAATTGTATTTGTATATGTATTATTTGCTTTATTCATCTACATTTCTATAGTTTACATATGCTTCATGGACCATATGAATTTATCAATATGAATGTGATTTTGTATATGTACTATGTAAATATTGCTTCTATTAATATGAAAAAGTTATTTTACGGATTTGTAAGAATTTGAAAAATTGATTGTTGTTTCGTATTTGAGACTGTTAATAAAATAAAAGCACTTCACGAACACAATTGCAAAAAAATTGTACTCAGATGTTTGCTATGTTGTTTTATTTTTATTTCAAATTAGTTTTTTTTTTAAAATTAAATAAAAAGAAAACTTATAATTGTTTAATTCAATTATATATCAAAATTAATTAAAGAAAAAATATTTTGACTAGCGACAAGGAGATTTTCAAGACTGATGGAGAGCACACCCGCGAACTATGGAACATAAAATTTAACCCTTAGAATTCCATTTAATTGGTTTCAAAGATCCAAAAATTTGATTTTATTGGTCATTAATAATATTTTAAAAGTTGGTGAAAAACAGTGAGTTTATATACAAATATTAAGTTTTAGATTAACAGTTAATTTTCATATATCAAGTTATTATATTTTTAAATTAAATCATAATACATTTTTGAAATAATAACATTTACATTTTATGTAAAAGAAAATGCCTAAAAACATTCCTAACCACCCACATCAATAAAGAATAAATTCCTTATAAACTCAACTTGTAAGGAAAACTAATATGTTTTTTTTTATTAGATTAAGAAACTCCTTTAAAAATTATATAATATATATTATTAATTTAATTATAAAGACTCATCAAAATATATGTATAGTTTAAGAAAAATATTTAAGTTAAATTACTAGCCAAATGCAAACGAACCTTTTACATATTTTGAGTTGTGAGAAACTCGACATACTTTATTTAACAGAATGAGTTAATATGAAATTGTATTTGTATATGTATTACTTGTCTTATTCATCTACATTTCTATAGTTTACATATGCTTCAGAGATCAAATCAAAATTGCAGTTTATCAATATGATTGTGATTTTGTATACTATGTAAATGTTGTTTTTATTTATATGAACAATAGTTATTTTACAAATTTGTAAGAGTTTGGATAATTGTGTGTTGTTTTGTATTTCAGACTGCTAATGAAATAAAAACGCTACACGAACACAATTGAAATAAAAAAAAATCTAAATTGATTAGAACAATAATCAGGTGCTTCAGTTGTACTCATATGTTTACTAAGTTATTTATTTTTTATTTAAAATGATTTTTTCAAATTAAATAAAAAACAAATTTATAGTTGTTAAATTCAATTATATATCAAATATTGTTAAAAACAAAATAATTTTAATAATATTTTGAAAGTTAGTGAACAACAGTGAGTTTATATACAAATATTAAGTTTTAGATTAACAGTTAATTTTTACATATATCAAGTAAATAAATTCTTAAATTAAATTATAATATATTTTTTGAATACGTTAAAATGTTTTTGATGTATAACTATATCAAAAAAATATTAAAAATCAAATATTATATTTAAAATATTAATTTGAAGTTAATATAATTTAACTTAATAATAATCAAATATCTATATAAAAATAATCGGTGCGTAGCGCGGAAACATCACTAGTATATATATATATATAAAGCAGAATTTGCTCTCTTCTTAGGCGGCCACCTCATCCACTCCTATCTCCAAATAGTGACACATCATCATATATTTGTTTTAAATTTTATTTGATTTATTATGTTTTATGTTCTTCAATCGTTCAATTCTTATAATAACTAACATTTACTAGTGTAATAAAATTTAAATAGAATATGAAAAGTCATTTAATCATAAAAACTAAGTTATATATTGATCTAAAGAAACTTTAATAAACACTAGAAATAATAAATTAATTGGTTTATAGTATATATATTGGTAAGTATGATTATAAATATATAGTAGAATTTTAAATAAAAGTTTCAAATTATAAAAAGGTATTATCATCAATTTGCAATCAATATAAATTATAATTACAAAATCTAAAGTAAACGATATCTATAATTATTCATCAATATCATTTTAATTGCCTAATATATATCCATCTCCTATAGGATTTTTATCATTGATTCTTAGTGAAAGTTATTAAGTTTGGTATTTTAATCTTTATTATCATTTCAAACATGAATTGGTGTACAAGTCCATACTTATAACGTTTGAGAAAGATGATGGGATGTACCCGTGAAAGCATTTCATGACAAATTTAAAACATGGAGTTTGTCAAATAGACTGATATGGATACATGATTAATGGTCTGATTAAATTAAACACAATAATTACAAAATATTATTAAGTAGATTACTCTAATAAACCTGGATTTCTTGCTTCTTTCTAAGGACCTGTTACGAGATATCATCTTCGAGAGTTTCAAAATTGGGACCTCAGTGCCGGCCCTGAACATCTATATAAAACAAACATTTTACTTATGACACTTTATGAGGGTGGGCTGTGTTTTTTTTTTTTTTTTTTGAAATCTTTTGCTCTGAAGGTTAAATCTTATAGGAAAGAGACATTCTTCATCAAACCAAACAAAATCAAATCAGTCCACTGAAATTGGCTTCATCTCTTGCGCTTCTTTCATCAGCTCATCTCTTATCATTCCTTTTTGTTCAAGTTTGAATTATTTGTGCTTATATTTTGCTTAATATTTACTTCATTTTTGTTATCTATTAATTAATCTTTATTTATATTTTATCGTTATAACAATTAGAGTCTAAATGCAACATAAAATACCATCTTAAGATTTTTAAATTTGTATTTTTGGATTTTTGCTTATGTACATATATAAACTATAACAATTAGAGTCTATGTACTCTAAAATATAACAATTAGAGCCTTACATTGATAAAATGCATTTTCGCCTATGTACATATATAAAATATAAATAAAAATTAATTAACAGATATCGATGGTGAATTAAATACAAACAATAATTTAATTTATTTTGCTTAGAGAACATACCATCCAATTTCAAAAGCAAGAGCTCGTTCAGCTGCATCTTTATCATCAGTAGAGTTGGAATGAAAAGGCTCGAACCATCTTGGTGATAAAACTATCCCAATTTGACTATCATGCAAAGTTTTTGGCATTTTCGGAATTCATCTATTGCAGCGGCATGAGCAAGAAGAACGTGATGCGAAACAATATAAGGCTCAGTACTCGAGTCACCGGCCTGACACTTTTCCCTAACCCATTTCAAGCATCGTCCAGCCGCCTTGTTTCCTTGATCGTAACCCGCAATAGTCATAATGTACGGTTCGTTGATCGTTGTGAGCTTGTAAAAGCTTGAATAAGAAGAATGCATGTTATAAAAGGTAAAATCTGTTAAAAAAAAACTCTAACATGTACAACATAATGTTTGAGGAAAAACTTGGTAAAATTTGTATAACATTTAAGTGAAAATGTAGACATTGAGAATGAGGAGAAAAAGAAAAAAAGAAACATTATGAAAATGATAATAAATGTTAAATTAAAATCAAACCAAAATATTATCGATATAGTTCAATATGTTGTGTTTATGAGAGATAGAGAGAGAAAATGTGTGTGTGCATATTGGAAATACATAAAACATTACATGTAATGTGTTTCAAGAATATTTATAGGTTTAAATAAATATAAACTCAAATATAAAAAGTGAGAAATATAAGTGTAATATTTAATATTGTTTTTTGAATCAAAAATTAACAAGTGGGCTTAGATTTTGTTAAAAAATCAAATATTAAAAAACCAAATTTATTAATAATTAAGTAAATAGATATTTTTTTATCATTAAAATGTTTTATATTAAATAATATGTAAAATTTCGCACGAAGCGGCAGATTATCCACTATAAATAATCGAAATTAAGCTTTTATGTCCTGTGGATTTATGAAAGTGGCTAATATCCAAGCTAACCGGTCTTTGGGTTCTAATGCTATCTTACTAACCGATTCTTGGTTTTTAATTGCAGATTGTAAACAACATCAAGAAAGTGAAATGTCAGGTTCTTGTCATACACGCAAGCAAATTCTATATTTCATTCTCATGTCCATATTTTCAGTCCCGGCCGTATTCGAGTCGGTGAACTTTATACTTATCTTACGACAGAGAACAGAGGATGATGTGGTGAATTAGCTACACGGAAACAGGCTATGGAAAATGGCGAAGGAACCGTATGAGCTGCTTTGGATCAAAGGTGGTGGACAATGCAACCTCGAGATCTATCCGGACTACATTAGACATCTCTACCCGTTTATTCAGGACATGGAGAATACAACCACAAAGTCTCGTCTCAAGAAGATTTGGCAAGAAATCCCCAGACAAGACGAATCCAAAGGATGTTGCCCGTTGTGGTTGCGGATGTTGTGGTTGCGGTTGTTGCAAGTGTTCTTGTCTTTCGTTGAAGGGATGTTTCTCTTGCTGCAAGAAACTGAGATGGGTTAGTTGTTGTTGCTCCTGTCCCAAGTTCGAATGCTAGAGCTGCTTCGGGAAGCGTAAATGTCCGAATTGCCCATGAACAGAATGTCTAAAATGCCATGGGTCCAAGTGTTGTAAAAGTTGTTGCTGTGCCGGTTGTTTTAGCTGGCTGTGTTGCTGCGGCGGAGGTAGGAGGAAGGAGGGGGAGAGGAGAGGAGGAGGAACAGTGGTGAAGAGTGAAGGGTAATGTTGGCATTTCGTTATTCTTGTATAGATTTTGGGTTAAACAATATCTCGGAAAAAATGTGAGATTGGAAGCGGAAAGAAAATTGGAAATGTGAAATCTTGATTTTTGTTCCAAATCGAGTTGGGCTCGAGGATCTCAAATCCATTTACTAATTATTATTTTTTTATAATTCTAATCACTATAATACGAGCAAACAAATACCAAACATGGTTATGTCGTTACCATTAGTCCTCAGACAAGAAACAACATAAAACACATAAACTTAAAATCTTCAGTTTTAAAAAGGAAAAGCAAAAGTATAAATAAAACATCAGTCATGAAACTAAGATGATAAGCAAAGTACAAACGACAGAAACCAAGACGACTCTTCTTCTCGAAAAACTTACCATTTCAAGGCAAAGTAGATGACAAATAAAGATTGCGAGAGATCACTTGGATCTTGCACTTTGGTGAAGCTACTTTTGGAGTCTCCTGACGACTCTTCTTTTCGAAAAACTTATCATTTCAAGGCAAAGTAGATGACAAATAAAGATTGCGAGAGATCACTTGGATCTTGCACTTTGGTGAAGCTACTTTTGGAGTCTCCTGAAGCCTCTTGAATAAATTAAAAGCATCAGTGTCAAGTGATGTATGGTAGTATACTATCAACTTTTCAAGAGCCGGCATTTTCTCCAAGAAGTGCCTAATCTGGACTATGTCCATCTTTCTGTTGTCACAAATGTGTCGACACCTAATAAATATCTTAAACATTTTCACTGGAGAAGACGAAAGGAAAAAATGAATATTTTCAAGACGTTCCTAGCCGCACACATTTCCACATCCATCGTGATGTCTGTGGTAAAGACCCTGAAGAAAAATAATTTTTTTTTTTTAAATGCCATTTCTAAAATATTTGAGGTTGAACATATGATATTAAAAAACGAGACCATAGATAACAAATAAAAGAATCAAGCTGTAAAAGTACTCAAATTTGCAAAAAGAAAAAAAATAAAAGAAATTATATATTTCTTCTTCACAACTAAAAAGAGAGAAAAAAACGAATTCTAAAAATTCTAAAAAATTAGAGAGACCCTATTCAAACTGATAAAGAAATATGATTTAATGAATTATATTTTATACCTTTATAACAAGGATTTGTAGTTTTGGACAATTCATGAGTACACCTAGCAATGCTTCCCATCCTACTTCCAAATTACTTTTGATCGCTAACTGAATCAGTTTTTTGAACACAGGTGTTTCTTCATTCCAGATCGTAAGTGCCTGAAACAAAAAAAAACTAAATCATCACACTCTTGTTGTGAATGTTAACTCAAGCTGAGTGTCAGAACAAGAAATGATTTGTATATGGGTCAAATGTGTTATATTTATCAACAAAAAACGATGTATTTCATTTTTATATATTAATACCTAATCTTTTATACCATGGAACAAACTGGCCAATGAAAGAATCACAAAGAAAAAAATACACAAACCTAAGGAGAGTTTTTTATTTTATTTTAAGTGGCCATCCTAAAAAAATACACAAACCTGAGGAGAGTTTTTTATTTTATTTTAAGTGGCCATCCTAACATAATTTTATGGGGTCATAGTACCCTTTCACTTTAAAATCGTAACAACAATAAAAATCAGCAATATTTTAAATCTACCCCACACGTCTCTACATAGCTCAGCCACTGGCTCTAGGCTGTTTGCTTTCTTAATCTTTCTAGGTAAGCATAACAATATTAGGATAAAGATGAGATTCATATAAAGACCTCAAGTGCTTCGGTAGATACGAAAAGTATTTGAATGTTGCATACTCCCCGAAGAAAAGCGCTGGCTTTTCTACCCATTTCTACTGCCTTATCACTTTCTATGATGCTTACATCTACATCTTCTGTTAGCCGAAGACTGATATGAGCTTCGACAATCAAATCAAAACTGATTTTCATACACTTGTCCGTAATAGTATTGTAGTACGCTAGGTAGACAAGACTCGGAGTAATAAACGATTCATTCCTCGGATTCAAAATGATGTGCTCACAAGAAAACCTTTGTTTCTTGAGTTTGGTGATAGAGACTGTGCAAGACTTCCAAAAACCCCACCTGAGGTTCATCAGAGTTATTTCCTCAAGCATGGGACAGCCAGCGAGAAGCTTTGCAAGCGCAACATCACCTTCTTCTAACGAAAGTGAATCAAGAAAGAAGCACCTAAGCTTTGGAAGAAAAACATCTACCACCTCCATGTCAGAGGTGAGAGAGCGACCATATGTCGGCCCTAATCTCAGCTTGACGAGTGACTTGCTCCTTAAGATTAGGCCACATAGGTAAAGCTTTGACACGTTTAGATCAAGATCCGTTACGCCACCTAGCAACACATTTAACATCCAGTGACTGACACGAATTGGATTAACACCATCTCCACAACTTAGAGAGAATTTGTTAACTGTGTAATTCCCTAGCAAAGTAAATACTCTATCCACAAATTCAACAAAACTTGTGGGAGTCTCTTCATCTGCGTCATCAAAATCAAACTTTGGCACAGATGCAAACAAAAAACGCTACCTTTTCGAGAGAACAGATGTGGAAGCGGCTTCTTTGGTTGAAAAGAGAGACAATATGCGGGAAATCAGATGATTTGGTAGATCGCTGATTAAATCTTTTGAGACAAAATCCATCTTTTTGGGATATGAGATCTAACAATTACAAAAGCAATCTGCAATTTTTTACACAGTAGTAAGGTTTCTTTAATACTCCAAAAGAAAATTAATTTACTAGAGAAGATGAAAAGTAGAGAGCATGAAAAAATGAGAATACTTACTTGAGTCCATAATCAAAATCATAAAATAAGATTATTCAGTAGTTTTAGAGAGTATGGTTGAAAAAAAATGGATACTGAAAATTAGGATTGCCGTCAATGAGATAAGCTCCCAATGGCAATCTGTTTGAGTTGTGTGGAGGATATGAATTCTATATAGGTGTGATGCGATTACTTTATATTTTCTAACAACTATGTGGTTTAGAAACAAAACCCAACATAATATAAAGAAATCTCTTAAAAGAAAGCTCAAAAGACCGAAGCATAAACCCAAATAAGAAAAGTTAAATGCAATTCAAGTGCAATGCAACTACACTATAATTTTAAACAACAATACATTTTAAAAATAAAGCCAGCCAGCGAAAGCCCAAACAAGGGAAACTAAAAATGGAAGCATAAGCCCAAGCAAGGTAAACTAAATACTACACCATAGAAAAACTAGTTAATAAAGAGCAGAACCATATAGCCTAAAAGATGAACTAGTTAAGTAAATATCTCTCACTCAAACAATAATTCAGATCATCCTATCAAGCTTTTGAACCATATTGGGACCTAAGTAGCTAATCACCAGTCAAGAACATAGAAGTAGGCTCACATTTGCAAATTCTAACAATGTTTAGCAATGAACAGGACTTCAAGCAAAAACATGTTCTCATAATGCAAACTATCTAACCATCAAGCAAGAATCTCAAAACTGGCGCTATCACGCCCTAAGAAAATCATCTAGCAAGGTGAACTATCACAATGGTGTCACTGAACAAAGGAAACATAGACCAAGCTAGACTATTAAACCAAATAAGCGAATCATGCATATGAATGAGATATCAAGCCACTAAGTAAACCATTTGCATCAACAATACCATATTCAATCAAAAAGGATAAGCTTTATGATCAATAATCACTTTGCAAGAGAAGGACACAACAGAGAACAACTAATCAAGCCTAATCACCCCTTAATCACATCCTAATCACCACTTTCCCTACTTAGAATCCTAAATCTAAGGTAAGCTACTTACTAATCATGTTTAATTCCATTTGATTAGAGTTAAACATGACTATATGAGATTAAATGCAAGATAATGAAAACTAAACTACCAAGATGTAAATTAAAGATCAGAAGACAAGATTAAACCATAAAAATGCAAACTTGATTGAAGAAAATAAAAGTGTTTACAAATCTAAGGCAAATCGCCATTTTAGATGATGAATAAGATGAGATAAAGTTTTAGAAAAAATGTGTCATAATGACAAACTTTGGTGGCTTCCGTTTTATAGTTAGAGGGAAAATGAGCACATTTCCTATATCATTTTCACACAAATGCAAATCTCACTCTTACTAAACCATGCATCACATTTGCATAGCATCTAAGCCAAAGAAAAAAAACCAAACAAATTTGAATTTTTTTCAAAAAATGTGAAGCATTTTTATGCTTCATTAATATAGTGACAAGCCCAACTCCTAAGCGCTCTCCATATATCTTGCCATGCCTTGCTTCCATCATGATATTTTTCAAGCCATTCACTAACAATCCCATCTCTTCTTCCTTGACCTTGTTTTGCTCTTTTCTGTAGAAAAGTGTGCATGTGATGACTCTATGAACATATCTGATAGCTGGATGGCGGATGCTTGCACTTCTGAGATGACCAGCCTTGTAAGCATCATTCGTTATCTCCTCCCAAACATGCTTGAGCTCATTGTGTTTGAAGCTCATAGCTTGTACTCTTGAACCTTGATCAAAGCCAAATATCTCCTCTAGCTGAGTGAATCCCATAGTTTACCATGCTCTGTTGGCTTTGAATATGATGAACCCATTGCCATAGTCTTCTTCTCCCTCATCATACTCCTCATCATACTTGTAGAAGTAAACCTTGAAGCTTGCAAGGAATTCATAAGAGATTTGCTTGTATTGTGGGGTACCCAAAACTAGCAAAATTCTCAAGCCCAATGTTTCTTATCAGCTCATCCACTTCAGACTTGATTTCCAGCTCATTCAACAGACCAGGGCAAGCATATCTTGTTGGAGCAAAGTCCACTCTCCTCATCGCCTTCATGTAGTCCTTAAGCTTAGGTGCTACCTTGGATCTTTGAAAGAGATGAAATGAGAGAATGCAAAAGGATGGGAAATGTGTTTTTGCAGAAAGAGAAATGGTGTTCTGGTCGATATGGATGTAGAGAGAAGATACGATGCTAGTTTTAATGCAAAAGATAAGGGAAATCTAAAATAAATAAAAGAAAAAATTCAAGAATATCTAGTTTAAAATTCAAAATTTGGTAAAAGAGAAAAAAAAAGATTCTTTTATCATCCACCAAGGTCCACAAAAGGGTTTTACTCGATTTACCTATGTAAAAAATTAGAAATTTTTTTTACATGGGTCATATCGAGCAAAACATCCCATGTGACACCTCGGTGTGTATTATATCGGAGACGTCGGGTCCTGTGTCTCGGCGATCATGCTCCTCTGCCTCTGGGTTCAGTGTTCTGGTCAGCTTTTCCTCAGGATATCTTGCATCGAGCAGAATCAGAAGTTGTTCTGCTCGATGTTATTGCTCGATGTAAGGGAGACACTCCGGCTTATATGATTCTTCCCGTGGGCAGTACATGGTATAGTCCGGATGTGTGATTTGGCTCAGACATTCTGCATCCGGAAAAGGTAGAGGTGATTTGCTCGATGCTACATCCTAATGCAGGTCCTCCGTTGTTCTGATGATGTCATTCGAGGGGATTATGGAACTGCTCGGCGAAAAACACCTACGTGGCATGCATCGAGCAAAGTTATGGATGTTTTGCTCGATGCTGCACCTCGATATAAGTCTTCTTGCACTCAGCTGGGATGCTTGTCGGTGGTCTTCATACTGGCCATCGTCCTTTGCTCGAATCATCCGATGGAATTCATATCGGGTAAAACGTTAGGAGTTTTGCTTGATGTTGTACCTTGGTGCAGCTTCATCGGCCAACTTCATCGATGTACAGAGTGGCGTCTCGATGTACGGTCAGGGTGATTGTATCGAGCATGAGTTCGTGAGGCTCTGCTCGATGTAGCATCCCGATGTGATCTCCATCGTGCATTTTGGTCGGTGTACGGCTGCTTCCTCCTTGGTGTACAGACTGGGGCTTAAGGAGCGACTACATCGAGCAAGGCTTTGGAGATTTTTCTCCATCGTGCAATCTGCTCAGTGTATGGACTGCTCCTTCCCCGAGATAAACTGTATCGGGCAGCAATGACAAGTGTTTTGCACGATATGGTACCCCGATATGAAAACAGAGTGTTCTCTCCTTGGCTTTTAAACAAACCTACACAGCTTTGGACCTGTTCTTTGTCCTATGAAACACTAAACAAAGACATTAGTAATAAAAGAAAGAATTATATACAAGGATAGTCAAGGGATTACCTCCTAAGTGTGCTTGTTTTAAGTCACTTAGCTTGACTTTGATGGTTGGAGACTTAGTGGGAAGAAATAGATGAAGCAGAAGCTCCTTCTCCCTTCTTCATGTAGACCCAAGTACCAACTGATATCAACTTCTTCTTATCACGAGCTGATTTTCTTGTTCTCGTCTTCTTGACACTGTGTGATCAAAGGCTTCACTTCTTTGGTGATCAAGACCTTTTCTTCTTTCAAACCATCCTCAAGCTTCACCTCAGTGACAAGCTTCCCTTCTGGCTCATCAGGAAGAGTGTCTCTCATCAGCATGCTCATTGTGAAGCTCATAGCCTGCTCCACACGCTCTGGAAGTTGCTGTTGTTCACTCTCTTCCTCAACAATGGTTCCACAAAAAGCAATAGAAGGTGACACAATCTTGTACACCTTGAACTCGTCAACATTCTTCAGAATCACTGAGCTTCTCTTGAAGTCAACTTGAGCACCTGCTGTTGCCAAGAAAGGTGTTCCCAGTATAAGTGGTACATCTCTTGAATATGTCTTCTCTATAACCACAAAATGTGTGGGTATCAAGCAATTACCAATTTTCAGAGTGAAATTCTTCACCATCCCTAGTGGTCTTGTTGATGTATTATCCGCAAATGTAATAGAGGCTTTGCCAGGCTTCAGCTCTTTGATTCATAAGGTTTGGCTTAAGTGGAGAGACATAACATTTATTGTTGAACCTGAATCACATAAGGCTCCCACATTGTCTAACACCCCAAGCTCACAAGTGATTAGAAACTTTCCTGGATTTGGCAACTTGGTTAAAGTTTTCAGC